TTTCTTTAATAATGTACGTCGAATCGACATATAAATATCAAAATCAAATTAATACATTTACGTAAAGCTCTTTCGTCCAAAATTAATTATTTCTATTATAATTATTGTAAAAACATTTATTAAGCTAAATCAATATTTAATAGAATATTTTGCACCACAAAATACCCTGGATCCGTATCCTATAAATACCAAGATAGAATGTTTTGTCAGACATTGGCAAATTCCGTTGATACGCAGAGAGTACACTCAGCACGTCTTCCTCAATTCAACTCGTCTCATGTCAGCTTGGCTCGTCGACAGTGACTTCAGCTCGTACAACCCAAACTCCCACTTCGACCTCGTCCAATTTTGTATTTGATCAAGTCGATTTTTGTAATCTCGCTCATTTTGTTTAACTCTTGGCTCGTCGTTCAAAGAAAGATTATTCTTACTTTCCTTGAGACTACACTCCGTACTTGTGTGATTCGTGCATCAACATATTTTGATATCATTTGCTCCTTTAGTTGTAGCTCTGCTGCATGATTTTCTGATTATGTTAGCTTTTTCGGTTTAAAACTATATAGCAAAGTTGCAATGACATGCAATTATACTATCATTGTTAGCTAGGTTGGAGTTAATGAGATATTTTAGCAGTGTTGTCTATGTACAATATCAAAGGCAGTAATAAATTTCAAATGGTATGAGAAACGATAATAGCTAATAACTTATTTGCTACCCATGAATTTATTTAGCTCTAAACTCGTTGAATTGAGTTGGATTGACCATTTTGATATCTCTAAATAGAGTTTATAATATGAAAGGGATTTTAAAAAGAAAAAAGGATTCATTTCCTTTTGTTAGTTTTTTTTTTTTTTTTTCTAATTAATTAAACTTTGTTTTTTCTTTCCTTCATGATAAAATGTGTTTTTTTGGGAGGAATTTGTTTTTCTTGTACCATAAACTTTGTTCTTAAATTACTCTTAGTTAGTGGAAAATAAATGACGCGTAAAAATGTGAAAAGAGAAATAAATTGCGAATTGGGTTTGTCCAAAAAAAAAAAAAAGAGAAATAGATAGCGAATTATTTTAATTGAGAAGGTAAAAAAAAAGTTAATAAGCAAGTAAGAAGAAAGAGCTCACCAATCAGAAGAGAAGGGAAGAGAGGAGAAGGAAAAAAAACTGCAACGCCGTTTGTTGCTGCTCTTGCCCGATCTGCAGCAGCGCGATCTCTCTGTTTCTCTCCAAAGCTGCGGATTTGATCATAGAGAGATATCAGGTGAGCTTATTCTTCGATTTCCTCTCTGGTTCGATTTCATCTTTCTTCAATTATTGATTTTGCTTCCTTCCCGTAGTAAGGTTTTGTGTCGATCTCTAAGTGAGTGCAGGGATTGATATACTGTTAGATAGTTTACCCTAGATCTAATTGTGTTGATCGCCGTCATGTAGAATCCCTAATTAATTTCAGATCCAGCTTTTGATTTTATTGATAGTTTTGTATCCTTTTGAAGATTATAACAGAGCTTTTCCTTTCTGCAGAATCGAATCTCTCATCTAAAAGATGGCGGCTTCAGAAGAGAATAGCGCATTGTTTCCCATTTTTATCTTGACGATTATGGCAATTCCTTTGGTGCCGTATACCATGGTCAAGTTAACCGGTGCTCTCTCCAAGAAACAAAGGACCATTCACTGTCAGTGTCTCGAGTGTGACCGATCTGGCAAATATAAGAGATCCTTGTTTAAAAAGGTTTCTTTCCCACTCAACCCACCTGCTCAGTAATATATTGCATGTTCCTAACCTCTCTTCTTCACTTTTTCTGTCTCCAGATCTCTAACTTCTCTACATGGAGCAACTTGACGCTTGTGCTACTCTGGGTCGTGATGATTTTCTTGATTTATTACACTAAGAACATGAGCCGTGAGGTAATCCCATTGCATTGCCTGCTCTTGAGATTATTTTTTTGAACTTGAAGCAACACTCACTTCTATCAACAATTTCTACTTGCTTATTTACCTTCTTGTTGCGTCTTACAGGCTCAAGTTTTTGACCCATTCAGTATACTTGGACTGGAACCTGGAGTTACAGATTCAGAAATTAAGAAAGCATATAGAAGGCTGTCCATTCAATACCATCCTGATAAAAATCCAGATCCAGGTCATGTTTTGATCATTACGGAATTATGCTTGCAGCTTTTGATCCTGATTGTTTTTCTTCTATGTGCATATTGTTGAACTCTACAGAGGCCAATAAATATTTCGTGGAGTTCATTTCTAAAGCCTACCAGGCTTTGACTGATCCTGTATCCCGTGAAAACTTTGAGAAGTATGGTCATCCAGATGGCAGACAGGTAATGATACATCTCATTTCCCTTCACATGGGCTCCCGTCTTATCGAGACTAACATATTGTAATGTGATCCCAGGGATTTCAAATGGGCATTGCTCTTCCTCAATTTCTTTTAGACATTGATGGAGCATCTGGTGGCATATTATTGCTTTGGATAGTTGGTGTCTGTATTCTCTTGCCCCTTGTGATTGCTGTTATATATCTCTCGAGGTCATCAAAGTATACCGGCAACTACGTTATGCATCAAACACTCTCCGCATATTATTATCTAATGAAACCCTCTTTGGCCCCAAGGTATATTCACTCATACCCATGTACATTCAAGTGATGCTATAGGTACATGACAAATGGGCTGTGTTTTCGTTTGTTTGTATGACATTGACATGTTTAAAAATCTCTGTTGTCCAGCAAAGTTATGGAAGTTTTCACCAAGGCAGCTGAGTACATGGAGATTCCAGTTCGTAGAACTGATGATGAACCTCTGCAGAAGCTCTTTATGTCTGTTAGGAGTGAGCTAAATTTGGACCTGAAAAACATGAAGCAAGAGCAAGCTAAGTTTTGGAAACAGCATCCTGCCATAGTGAAGGTGAATTTTCAAATTACGCAACTGTGATGCTAAATATTGAATAAACTGAAATACTCACTTCCTCATTTTCTGTACAGACGGAGCTGTTGATACAGGCCCAGTTAACTCGTGAATCAGGAGTCCTGTCTCCCGCCCTTCAGGGTGATTTCAGGCGTGTGCTAGAGCTTGCACCTCGCCTCCTTGAGGAGTTATTGAAGGTCTAGTCTCTATTTAAATAGCACAATTTCTGGTAAAATAAGCATCAAGAAGCGATGACCGGAAAGTGCTAACCTGTTATGTAGAAGAGATGTATTTTCCTCTATAGCAGGGAAACTCGAAACAGACTTTAAAATTTTAGGTTAATAGTGATGCTTTTGGTCACACTGTTAGAATTGTGGTTTTCTTAACCATTCATTATAACATTGTGAGTTTCTTGCAGATGGCGGTTATACCGCGCACTGCCCAAGGGCATGGATGGCTGAGACCTGCAGTTGGAGTAGTTGAGCTATCTCAGTGCATTGTTCAGGTCTTAAATTACTCTCATCACCTATCTTCTAGTTTTTCTCTTGTTTGTGAGCTTTCAGTTCTTTATGTCTCGTTTCTCCACAAGATTTACTTCTTCCTGAAAGTTTAAGAAGTGCTTAGTGTTGTTGTCGAGGAACATAAACTAAAATTTCAAAATCGCAGGCTGTTCCTCTTAGTGCAAGGAAGTCTTCTGGAGTATCTTCAGAAGGCATTTCCCCTTTCTTACAGCTCCCTCATTTCAGTGATGCCATTGTCAAAAAGATAGCACGGAAGGTATACTAATACTATCAAATGTGTCAAGTGCAGTATTTGGGATAATATCTAGTTCCATATCATGTGCATTTTGACCTGAGAATCTTCTCGGATTCTCCTCTCCGAATAAGTAATAGTGTTGCTTTAGGTTGGTTTACTTAAAGGTCTAGCCTAAAGACATATATAAACCAGCATTTTATGTTAACATGGCATTGTTTCTCCTATTTTCAGAAGGTTAAATCATTCCAAGATCTTCAAGAAATGAGGTTGGAAGACCGTTCTGAACTGCTCACCCAGGTAGCGGGTTTATCAGCAACTGATGTTGAGGACATTGAGAAGGTGCTAGAAATGATGCCGTCTCTTACAGTCGATATCACATGTGAAACAGAAGGGGAAGAGGGGATCCAAGAGGGTGACATCGTGACCCTTCAAGCTTGGGTCACTCTGAAACGACCCAATGGGCTTATAGGCGCCCTTCCTCATGCACCCTACTTCCCTTTCCACAAGGAGGAAAACTACTGGGTTCTTCTTGCCGATTCGGTGTCGAACAACGTGTGGTTCTCTCAGAAGGTAAGCTTCATGGATGAAGGTGGAGCGATAACGGCTGCCTCGAAAGCCATCAGTGAGTCAATGGAAGGTTCAGGAGCAGGGGTGAAGGAAACAAACGATGCAGTGAGAGAAGCGATTGAGAAGGTTAAAGGCGGGTCAAGGCTGGTAATGGGTAAACTCCAAGCACCGGCAGAGGGAACATACAACTTGACTTGCTTGTGCCTGTGCGACACATGGATCGGGTGTGATAAAAAGCAAGCACTGAAAGTGAAAGTCCTGAAAAGAACCCGGGCAGGGACACGTGGTATGGTTTCAGATGAGGGTGCGATTGCAGAAGAAGGTATGGAGGAGGAAGATGAGATTGAGGAGGAGGATTACGATGATGATTACGAAAGTGAGTACAGTGAAGATGAGGATGAGAAGAGAGGGTCGAAGAAGGCCAATGGGAGTGTGAAACAGAAGAAAGAGTCGAGTTCTGAAGAGTCGGGATCGGAGGAAGAGTGAAACAGAAAGGAGATTTTACACTGATAAACAAAAAAAAAAAAAATACAATGCTTTTGCCCCGAGTATCCTGCTAGTCTTTTTCACAGTTTTGACATTCTCTGAATGGCTCTTGTCTTTCTCTTTCTGTATCACTTTTCTTCTCTTCAGAGAGATTACATCGCGACTAGGGAGGGAAAAAACGTAACTCGGACAAAATTTTGATACACGGCATTACAAACCAAACAAAGCTTTAATTCGGTGAATTCAGATAATGGGCCAACTAATGGGTTATAATGGGCTTTTCGGAAGTTTAAAAAAGTGGAAGCCCTATAAGGCGGGAAAATCAGAAGAGGCGCGTCAGTCTTGTTCGTCTTCTCCGGAGAGGTTTTGCGGCGGAATCCGAGGCGAAAATAATGCCAAATTACAGCATCAGAGGAATCAATGTTGATTTCCCATTCGAGGCGTACCAGTCTCAGATCATATACATGGACAGAGTCATCGAGTCTCTTCAAAACGTGGGTTTCCCGAACTCTCTCTCTCCCATTCGTTTTATATTGCTCTTTTAGGGTTCCCCGCTCACTGTGCAGCTAAAAATTGTTAACTAATCTGGATTATTAAAACTTGTGAGATGATGCTGCAGAAATGTCATGCGCTTTTGGAGAGTCCTACTGGAACTGGGAAAACTCTTTGTCTTCTCTGTGCCACCTTAGCCTGGCGAAAGAGTCTGGGCTCTTTCTCAACCCGTAAGGATCGCAAGAACTGTTCCATTCCTTGGTCAGATTCTGACGACCTAATGTCACAATCCGGAGGAGCTTTTCCTACCATTATTTATGCGTCCCGGACTCATAGTCAGCTCCGCCAAGTGATCAAAGAATTAAAAAGATGTAGCTACAGGTCACACCACCAATTCACTTTCTGCCTTATTACCTGCTCATCATCTCTTCTAATCTTTCTCTACCTCAATCATTTCTAGGCCTAAGATGGTGGTCCTAGGATCGCGGGAGCAATTATGCGTTAATGAGGAAGTCAACTCACTCCGTGGCAAAGCACTCACAAATGCTTGTCAGTACCTTTGCAAAAAGCGCGGTAAACGCCAATGCAACCATTTCAATCGCATTCCAGGTACACCTCTGAAATCTACTCTTTATCGCCACATGAAACGACGACATAAATCCTTACTATTTTGCCTTTCCATTAATCTTTTGTAGATTATTTAAAGCATAACACTCATATTGGCGACGAACCACTTGACATTGAGGATTTGGTCAATATTGGAAAAGATTCCGGACCGTAGGTTCCTCTATTTTTGCTACTTCAACATATTTGTTTCTTACGTTGCTCGCTTTTCCATCTGTACCATATCTGTATTTTGCAGATGCCCGTATTATATCACAAGAGAGCTTCACAAGGACGTGGACATCATATTTGCACCTTACAACTACTTGATCAGCAATGGCTATAGAAAGTTTTTGAAAGTCAACTGGAATAATAGTGTCCTTATTTTTGATGAAGCGCACAATCTGGTAAGGGGACTAAGATGTTCCGCATATAATTTCCTCATGAACTCTTCGTTTCTTGGTGTTTTGTTCTATTTTTCCGGGTTACCGAACGATTATACTGCTTCCAACTTCTCGAAACACTCAGTTTATCTTTAAAACATGCGCAGGAAAGTTTATGCGCAGACTCAGCTTCATTTGACCTTCCTTCAGTTCTTCTATCGGCTTGCATTTCTGAAGCACAAGAATGTGTACAACTTGCGGCAGCAAGAAGGAATTCATTAAATGACGTTTCCATAAACCCTGAGAATTTTGCTATACTTAAAGGTCAAATTTTAGGCCTTGACTGAGAGTACAATGTTCTGTTAGACGTGAATGAAAATGACATAACTGTTCTCATCTATGCGTTGTTTTTCGCTTCCAGGACTGCTTCTTAAGCTGCAGGAACTGATTTCTAAAGTGCCAATTCCAAAAAGGGACGAGGGATTTACCAAGCCTGGCCCTTACATATATGAAATGCTTAAAAGCCTTAACATCACTCACGAAACTGCTCCTAAACTCATTGGTACAGTTGAGGAGGCTGCAGTGTTCCTGGAGGAGGAGAAACAACGAACAGCGACCAACGCTGGAAGCAAACTAGAAATCATTGCTGACATGCTTAAGCTGATCTTTAGAGAAAATGGAAGTAACCATGCAGATGTTTATCGTGTAAGTTTTAAGAAGAGTGTTCTTTATATTCCGTGTTGAATTTTATAATTAAGTTGAAAAGGAATTTATTTTTCTCTTATGCTATCTCATTGGCAGAAACCCTCTTTTCTACTCCTATCTTTCACTTACAGTCTCAATATTCGTCCTTCATTAGGTTCATGTACAAGAGCTGGAGCAAAATTCTACTGATGTGATGAAAGGTAAATAAGAGTGGGATTGTCTATAGCCTTTAAACATAAAATTAATATTGTTGCAGTCCCAAAGCATTAACTAAAACGCCATTTTGCTAATTTGAAAATATAATAATCATTCTTAATCTGCTCTCCTGTGGAAATTGTTTTTGGCAAATTAGTCAGAACTTTAGAGAAAAGAAATGATTTGATTTATTTCTGTAGGCAAGGTATCAAGAACGCTTAGCTGGTGGTGTTTCAGTCCTGGGATTACCATGCTGGACATAGCAAAAAAAGGTGTTGGGTCTATCATTTTAACATCGGGGACTTTGTCTCCCATGGATTCATTGGCTCAAGAACTAAAACTGTGAGTCATATCGATAATCATTTCTGTCACTATGCTTGTCTATCTGCCTTTTTGGCTCTTCCCCCAGTTTTTAATGAAAACATCTTTTTCTGGAAAATGCAGAGACTTTCCCGTTCGGTTGGAGAATCCCCATGTTATATCCTCAAATCAGCTATGGGCTGGAGTTGTAAGTACTGGTCCATCAGGGTACGTTCTTAATTCTAGCTACCGCAATCGTGATGTACCAGAGTACAAACAAGAACTTGGGAATGCCATAGGTAAGTGTTTTGTTATTTGGTAGTTCATTTTGGATGGCCTGAATGTATCACTCTGAATTTCTGATGTGTGAACCGAGTTCTAGAATCTGGGGAGCTCTCAATATCAAAGCTGCTATCCTTATAGTGATCAATTAATTAGTACGTGTTTCTACTCTGCAGTCAACTTTTCTCGAGTCGTGCCTGAAGGATTGCTGATATTTTTCCCTTCCTATTACCTTATGGACTCTTGCATTTCATTTTGGAAAAATGGGGTATGGCCGTTGTTAATTTTCTCTTAAATATGAAAAAATTAGTACTCTTTAGCTTGAAAATCTACCGTTTCTTCATCATTCAGTGTCACAGAAACTCAATGACAGTATGGGAAAGAATTTGCAAGCTCAAGAAACCTGTCATTGAACCTAAGGATTCGTCCCTCTTTCCTGCAGCAATGCAGGTGAGCAACAGATGCCTCTGATCTTCTTTTGCTTTCAAAAGGCAGAATATTATATAATTTAACCGTGTCTAGTGTTTTTCTCATGGTAGGACTTCTCAGAAAAATTGCAAGACAGATCGACTTCTGGTGTGGTATTTTTTGCCGTTTGTCGCGGTAAGGTATGTTTTCTTCAACCTGTATGAAATTTGTCTGTTTGTAATAAGAGATATCTTGTGTATCCATATAGTATGTATGAGAATGCTGGTACAAAAAATAGGAGGTCAATAAGTTTCTCTAGTGTAGTGTCTTCAGTATGGCTGGTCTCTGTTGTGTTGTCAGGTCAGTGAAGGACTGGATTTTGCTGACGGTGCTGGCAGAGCTGTCGTCATTACTGGGTTACCTTATGCCAGGGTGACAGATCCTAGGGTTTGTCTGCTCTATCCTTTACTGTTTTGTTCTGAATTTGTATATAGGCTCATTGGCAAAATGGTTGCAAAAACCAGTGAATTGTTTTGCTCTTTTTTGAGAGTTTCTTTCTCATTTGTCTTCACTTTTATTTAAACTGGCACTGAGAGGTCACATAGCTTTAAATTTTATGCTGCTAATTGCATTCCAGCATCATTAACCCATGTTTAAAACAGGTAATATTGAAACGAGAGTTTCTGGATGAACAATCACAACTTGCAGATGTCAAGGTGAGTTCGATATTTATTTGACTATTGACACATCAAGGTTATAATATTTCTTGCAATTTTTTAGCTTCCAAGATCAACCCTTCTATCTGGAAGCATGTGGTACAGTCAAGAAGCCGCACGGGCTGTGAATCAAGCAATTGGACGTGTAATCCGCCATCGCCATGATTATGGAGCTATCATCTTTTGTGATGACAGGTTTTGTTCATGCTATCCATAGCTTTTTTCTTTTCTTCCTGGCTTCATGCAAGAATGTTCTTTTCGGGCATATATTCCGGGCATGATGCATGTAAAGATGAAGGCCTCTCGTTTTTGGACAAATAGATAGTGCATAAAATGTGGTAGTTAAGGTACTGCCAATTTTAGCCTTGAGACGTATGCTCTTTGAGATTGCTTTTGGTTGATATTGCGTCTGACATTCTCTTTCTAAACTGTACTCGCTATAGTTTTTAACGATTCTCCAAATAGACAAGAACTGTGCTCGATCTTGGGTAAACATATATTCATTCTCGTTTTTTTGTGATTATTTCGTACATTGGCTATTGTTGACAGATTTGAACAACCGTCCCAGCAATCCAAGATATCACTTTGGATACGACCTAACGTCAAGGTATAAGTTATGCTCTGTCTTGCCTCTGCATTTTTATGGAGCTTTAAGTTTTTTTCCTGGATACACCGGTTTTGCAGTGCTACTCTAGATATGGAGAGGTTATTTCTGACCTTGCACGATTTTTCCGGACTGAAAGATCAAACTTTCCTGCAAGGCTTGTAACAGATCAAGAGAACAATATAGGTAATGCACCTTGCAGCAAAAAGATAACTTTCATTGGACGTTACCATATCTTAGTCTGCCTGTCCTATTATCCCATCCTATTTCTTTCCTTGTGATCAACTATGGTTTGTGTTTGGGAGTTGGGGCATGATATAATTGCTTATCTTGTATCCATAAGAACTTTGTGACCCCTTGGTTATAATAGGTTGGAACAAAAAAAAAAAAAGTACAGTGAGTAGTACGAGCATATATGCAATAGTTTTTCATAGCAAAATGCTCTAATACTTTAAGCCCTATTTTCAAGTATATGTTGGACATCATTGTAAGCCAAATCTTTTTTGATACAGTTTCAACATTGGTACCAATGGAATCAACCAAGGATAATCCTACACCAGCCTTTGGTCAGTGATTCATTTTTCCTTCATTCTCATGACTGAGGAAAGATATTTTCCCTTTTGCACATGGTTAGAATGTGGTTCTAACTTCAACTCTCAAAGTTGTAATTTTGCATTGGGTATTTGATCTTTTGCAGGTAATAGTAATTTGAAAAACGTTGGAGTTGCGCAGAATGAGTTGAGTAGACTGGAAGCATTTCCTCCTGCAAATCGGGCTTCACCCTTGGAGCGTGACGGAAATAATGTTAAATGGAAAGGCCTGACCATTCTTAAACATACGGGCAAGATACCTCACATTGTAAAGGGAGATGTTATGCAGGGTTGTTCTTCACGGAAGGCTAAGTTAGTGGAACTAAGTGATGATGAGGAGACTCCGGTAGAGAGGAGATGTGAAGTAGTGGATCTAGAATGCGACAACTGTGAGAAGCAGACCTGTGAAACAGAAGTGCTTGCATCAAGCACATGTTTCAACACAATGGGACTAAAAAAAAAGCGAAAGGTTCAAGAGAGTCAGGGAAGTGCATCGTCGTCAGTGTTGACAGCGAAAGGAAATGGAGGTGGTAATAAAAAGGAAGCAAGTGCATCTGCATTTTTGAGTCAAGTTAGATCCCACCCTCTCTTTCCATGTTTCTCTTTTGTATATCAAGTTATTTGTTTACATTGGAAGTCATGCGCTGATGATCTTACTAGGTCAAAGAGAAGCTCAACACAGAAGAATATAAAAAGTTCATTGGATACATGCAAGCATTGAAGAAGAAGGAGATTAAGTTAGCAAACGTGATGGAGTCGATTGTGCAACTGTTCTGTGGAAGAGAGAGGGATCATCTTCTCATGGGATTCAAGGACTTTGTGCCAGTAAAGTATCGTCCTGCCTATGAGGAATGCATTAAAACGAGAAAAAGAGAAGGCTGATCGATCATCTTTTCAAACTCCAATTGACATTGTTACTCTCTCTACATTCTTGTTGTAAGTAAACTCTAACAGCCTTAAGTGTAGCTGAGAAGGAAAGAAAGAAAGTAAAAAATTTGTGACAAAAGAAAGTGAAATTGCATGAGTGTTAGTTGTCACTCATGATCATCCTCTTTCTCAGCCTCTCCCTGGCTGCGCGAGTACTGAGCGACCTCACAAGGCCTTTCCTGGTGATTCTCTTCTCCTTCTCACGAAGAGCGATGATGAGATCAACGAAAGCGCTTAATATGAACTTGTGTGACTTCTTGTCGTTGAGATCCAGATAGCAGAAGAGTAGCTCCTCCATCAAGTCCCAATCCACTTCGCTGTCTGGCATCCCTAACTTGGACTCCATCATCTCCACCATGGACAGCCTGAAGTCCTCTTGCGGCTCATCCGTGTATCTTAACACTGCGATGCAGTTCTCCGGCAGCACCAAGGTGGATCTCGATTGTCTATCCTCCGATGTAGACGTTGTTTCCATGCTAGGCCTCCCCTCCGATGATCCAGGAGGAGGAGATAGTCTCTCCGTCCTCAGCAAATCCGGCGGCTGTTTTGGGGAGTCGTAGACGGCCTGTCCCCATGTCCTCTCGAATCGGTGACGATAGTCGTCGTCGTCATCATCACTGTCGTCTGATGAAGATTCCCTTTTCTCCTTGTTTTTGGTCAGCCGGACTTGATGCTCATCCTCCTGGTCGTCTCTGATGCAGAGGGATTTGAAGTTTTCCTCAAGAAAACGATCAATGTCAGACAAGGTGGCGGCGTGAGCGGAGTCCTGCTGGTGAACGGGGTCGTCTTTGCTGAATCTGGTCTTGCTGCTGCGTCGTCTGTGCTTGAAGGAGAAGGAGAGCTTCTTGGGATGCTTACCAAGGACCCAATTCTTTGAGGATGAGAATGAATTCGACGAAGACAGTTGCAGCTTCCCTGTCTCTCGTTTGATCTTTGACAGGTAACCATGCAGCGATTTCTGCAATGGGTTTGGCATATCCTCTGAGACCTTTTGCTCTACAAACAACTCTGCTGCATGAAAACAATAGAGATTTTTGTTTTAAAACCAATTCTGGGAGATTTGATGCTATAAGAGGGAGCAGGGGTTCATTGGTCAAATCTGAAACTGTTCAACGCTTTTACGTTGTGGGTAATCTCATTAAATTAATAGGCAAGTTTTTTCTTAGATTTGTTTTTGTGTTAAATCTGTTTCCATAAGTTCCAGATTCTGCATTCAATGCATCGTTGAATAGTACAGTAGTTTTTTTTTTTGTATTGGAACTTGGAAGTGAAAGCTCACGCGCCTAATCTAAACACAGACTTGATTTACTTGACTCAATTCAATGTTTAAGTACCATTAAGGTAACGTTGACAAAAAATTAACATCTTTAATATTGAAAAAAGTGAAAACAAATGAAGAAGACATGATAAAGCGGATAAGTAAGTAGCAAAACTGTTTTCGAGGCCCAACTTTTGTGGCCCAAGACAGGAGTGTAATAATAATTGAGTTGGAGGCGGTGTGCTTGTATTTTGTCCCACATCGCTTGTGAGACTAAAGATGCAGAAAAAAGTTGTGCTATAAAACAAATCTCACATCCTCCGGAGAAAAGCATCTTTGCGCTTGGGGCAATGACGCAGCTAATGAGGTTCTAACCGAGGCGCGTCTATTGCTGGTTGAAAACTATTTCCAAACCCCCTCATGGGCTTGGGCTCGACCTATGGCCTTTGAGAATTTTTAGAAGGGTTCCTTTCGGGGTAAAGCCCTACAAATCTTAAGTTTTAAGTTTATATTGTGCTTGTTAATTTGGTCATTGTAAATTAGTGATGATTGAGAATCGTAATGTACTTGGGGGAATCAAATAGGTAAAGCCCTATAACTAGCATATGTTTGAGAAGCCTATCATATTCATATATGATCAATTCATGTTTTTTTATTCGAAAGCATATACCTTTGTGTCACATACTAAAAATAAAATCCTAGACCCTTAAATCCTATTTCCAAATGTAAACAGAATGTACTCAACTTATATATATCCCATGTTCAAAAAATCGCTAGGCGCTAGTCGGGCGGTGAGGGTGGACCTAGCGCCTAACAAGAAAATCGGAGATTAAACGGAGACTAATCGGGATTAGTTTTAAGGCTATTTAATATTTTAAAAACATATTAATCCATTATAATTAAGAAATTTATGTAATATCGTTTTTAAAATTACATTAAACACATCAAAACAAGAATTTCACCTCAAAATTATGAGTTTTTAATACAAATTACGAATATAAGTGGGATGTTTTGAATTTTAGATGTAAAATTTTTTTAAAAAAAAATAAAAAATTGGGTTAGGTGCCGTTTAGGCGGACAAAAATCGGATCACCGATTTTTTTTACCGATTTGGACAAAATCGCCGTGGTCTCCACCCGATCAGCGCCTAGGCGGCTAGGTAGCCGATTTTTAGAACGGGGTATATATCTGGTCATTGCACTGTGTTAATTAATATTATCCATTACAGATTTTTCGGTTATTAATTATTAGTCTTACACTGATTGGATGGTATATTTTGTTTTGATAATTATTTTCTAACGCCTATAGTTACATACAATGTCTCAGATAATTTATATCTTATTTAAAAAGGTATGAAAAATTGGAATAAAAAGCAAGAGTAAAAACAAGCTTTGTTCTATTCTCTTTTTTTCCGGTGGACCGCTTGCTTCTATTCTCTGTTTGACCCGTCGTAGCCACATACCCATTAAAGGGTTTTTAATATAATTTTTACTTAAAAAAAAAAAAAAAAGCAAGCTTTGTTGTTTTCTGTTGTCAACAAATATGTATGTTTCTCTTAAAAAAAATTTGATAAAAGGATCACTCGTAGGAGTTGCTTCCGGTGTCGTCTATACGTACGTACTTTCTCGCGTATTTGTTAAATTAATATTTTTACTCTTCTCTAATCATTCAAAAAAGAAGGGGAAAAGAGTAAAAAATACAGAGGCAAGGCAAACAATACGAGTCTTGTACGTATGTATTCTCTCTCTTTCTTTGCTTCCTAATAATCAATCAATCAATCAATCACAGAGTACAAACAGCAGCCAAAGAAGAAGAAGAAGAAGAGGAAGCCCGAAAACTGTTCATTTGATTTGTCCAAGTTGTAAAATCGAGCACCTGCATTGCATTTGGGGCTTTCCTCTTATCTGGAAAGAAAGAGCCGCCACGCCACTGATGGAAAATATATCTATATATATGCTTTTGATCCTAAACCTTCTTACTACTACTTTTTTGAGATTCTTTCTAATAAGTCACCAACCACATTCATTTTTGACTAGCTAGGAGACTTTATACTATCTGAAAGATTCTCTCTATACTCAATCCATTTTTGTTCTTTTGTGTGTGTCGGGATTTCAGACTAGTGTGATCAAATCCTACCATGATGAATTCGAGAGTTTTGTTCTCAGTGATTATTGGTAGAGTCTCAATCTTTTTGAAAAAAAAAGATCGACCACAGTGGGAGTCGAACCCACGACCTTTTGATCCGAAGTCAAACGCGCTAATCCACTGCGCTATGCGGTCATTCTTGCTCCATATATGAATCAATAGAATCAATTCTTCTTCATTCAAGCTTCTTCTTTCTTCTTTTCTGTTTCTGGTCGCTCGCTGCCACCAAGACTTTCTCTCTCTCTCTCTCTCGAATTATCGATCTGGTGAATCTCTAGCGGTGCCGATTCAGCGGATCCGGTTTGATCTCCCTAGTAGGCTTGCGTGATTCTTACTTAGGTGCGTTCTCGGGGTTATGCATTTGATCGAGGGTGGAAATCGAAACTAGATCTGGTTTGTGTATTTCGGGATGATTACTACTTACTAGGGAATTTTGTTTTTCTTGATATAGCGACACACTTGTTTTGTGCTATCATCTATCATCTGCAGCAATGTTCTATGGCACAGCTGTATGGGACCCTTGGCTTATCGTTGGCCAGATTATTTGCCTCCAGTGCTCTTACTATCTCACTCTTGGTCTCTTCACCATGGTCTTTCTTGGCCTTCGTGTTCCTCGCCTTAGTCTTGTCTACTTCTTCGATTACGCTACTCTCACTACTTCCACCTTCACCGGTTGGTGTGTCATTGCCTCTTTCCTCTTCTCTTCACTCGCTGGGTATTTTGCTTGCCTATCCCCCATTTATTATTCTTTGCTTTCTCTTTAGTAGTATTACTTTTCAGATTTCTTCCATTCATTTTATTTGGCAGGGCTGTCTACATGATATTTTTGGTGGAACGAGCACGGAAATGCTTAGATTTCTCCGCAACTCTCTACATCATTCATCTCTTCTTTTGCATCATGTATGGCGGATGGCCTTCCTCTATGGCATGGTGGGTTGTTAATGGAACTGGTCTCGCTCTTATGGCTTTGCTAGCTGAGTATTTGTGCATTAAACGCGAACAGCAAGAGATTCCTATGGATCGGTTCCATTCAAGTAAGATGATCCATTCTTTCTTTCATGACTCTCTGCACAGCATATACTTTCTCATGACTGACTTACGCATGACTGCTGCTGCAGGGGTTTGAAGATTGGTGTATGAACAAGTGATGCAGATTCTTGTATCAGGGCGGGCGACTCATACTAGTACTCTTAACAATTGTCATGTACAGAGATGAAATCAGAGGAGTAGAATGGGCAAAAAGAACTTGAGCCAGCCAGCCAAGTAACCATGTTGAAGCACCAACTCTGACTGACTGCAGTTTTGTTGTGACCTCAAAAATTAAAACATTGGAATACGTACGTTTCAATTTGTTCTTCTGTATGAAAAAACCTAATAGGTTATTGATTTCATGTTGCTTCTTTTTTTTATATACTGGATCTTCTCTCCTCTACTCGGTGCAGCTTTGTGTGTTTTATAATCATTCACCATACTCTTCTTTTACCACCAATTGATTCCTTAAATTTTCTTGCTTTTTTTTTTTTTAAACTGTGTACTGAAAAAAAGGGTCGTCCGTCGAAATGTAACATCTCGCATACGGTACGGGTGAAGTGACAAAAAACGACGTCGCATTAGAGAGACTCACTAGACCCAGATTCAGATCCAAATCGCCAACGCGCACTGGAAGTGGGGATCAGCACCACCACTGCCCTTGTTCGACATCTCCCTGCGATCTCCGTCGATAATTCGATCTCCGGTTCAGACATTGTTTTGGACTTGCAAAGATGGTGAGTGACATGATCTCTCAGTTTCTCCATAGATGTACCTCTGAATCCTCTTTCAATTTTTTTTCATTTCTGGGCTAGTCTACGTAAGAGTGTTCCTCATTGCATTAAAATATGATTCATCCCCTAAATCGAAATGCGATTTTCTACTACTTGTGCCGTGTTTTGGTTTCTCAGAATATCAACGAGCTATTATTGTTTTGTTTCTCCTCTAAATGTGTTTGCTTCTATTTTGTTTGACAGCCTCTGCGACTCGAAATCAAGGTAATGCAGTCTCCCTTGATGCTCGATTTAGACCTCTCTCATTCTACATCATTCTTATTCGCCTCTATGTTTTGATCAGCGTAAGTTTGCTCAAAGATCCGAAAGAGTCAAATCTGTAGATCTCCATCCCACAGAGCCATGGTAATTTTCATTGCTTTATAGTATTTCGTTAAGGAAACAACAACTACTAATCCATTGATTGTTTCAGGATCCTGGCAAGTTTGTATTCCGGAACTGTGTGCATCTGGAATTACCAGACACAGGTTAGTATCATCTGTTACTTTTACTTTACTTGCTATCTATTAGTCTTCCTGATTCCTCACTCTGATATTCTTGTTCTCCTTCTCCATTATTGTTTACCCGAATATTACTTTGCAGACAATGGTAAAATCTTTCGACGTGACTGAATTGCCTGGTATGATATACACCATCTCATTTTGTTCCTGGTCCTTCTTATGCTGCCTTTCGCACAGCATTCTGTGGTCCTGCATTTCTTGAATCTGTCATCTTGTTGTGCAGTTCGGTCAGCAAAGTTCATTGCACGGAAGCAGTGGGTTGTAGCTGGAGCTGATGACATGTTTATTCGTGTCTACAACTACAACACAATGGATAAAATCAAAGTATTTGAGGCTCATGCTGATTACATTCGTTGTGTTGCTGTTCATCCCTCCCTTCCCCATGTGTTATCATCATCTGATGATATGCTCATCAAGCTCTGGGACTGGGATAAGGGTTGGCTTTGCACTCAGATTTTCGAAGGGCATTCCCATTATGTTATGCAAGTGACTTTCAACCCAAAAGACTCCAATACTTTTGCTAGTGCATCCCTTGACCGTACCATCAAAGTAAAATTACTCTTGGACTTTTACGATACATGTTCTTCGTTCATACCCATTATGAGAAGCTAAACTTTTTTCATTTATTTACATCTTTTCTTACATAGATATGGAATCTTGGCTCTCCGGATCCAAATTTTACTTTGGATGCACATCTGAAAGGGGTAAACTGTGTAGACTACTTTACTGGTGGGGATAAACCATACCTAATCACTGGTTCTGATGATCATACTGCTAAGGTCTGTACTGAGCTGTCTTGCTTCTTTGCAAGTCGTTTGCTTGCTACATATGTGTGCTTGTATGTATCTCCATTTGTATTGTTTGTATATAGGTTCGTGCAAGGTTTTCTATTGTTCATATATGTCTTCTGGAAACAGGTGTGGGATTACCAAACGAAGAGTTGCGTTCAGACACTTGAAGGTCATACACACAATGTTTCTGCAGTATCTTTTCATCCAGAGCTCCCAATAATTATTACAGGATCCGAGGATGGAACTGTTCGTATATGGCATGCCACCACTTACAGGTAACTCGTATGCTGTATGTATTAAAGCTGCTATTGATTTGGTCTTTAAAAACTTCCTTCAGTTTAATCTTCATCCAACAATCTAGGCTTGAGAATACATTGAACTATGGCCTTGAGAGGGTTTGGGCTATTGGACACATTAAAGGTTCACGCCGGTAAGTTTCTGAACTTATACTATGGCAATATTTGTTCCCTGCTAAAGGTATATTTATCTTCACATAATAAGTATTTCTTTGTGTAAATTTATGTTTCCTACATAATTTACGAGATGGCAATACCTTGTCTTTTTCCAGGGTTGTAATTGGTTATGACGAAGGATCCATAATGGTGAAACTTGGCCGTGAAATACCAGTGGCTAGTATGGATAGCAGCGGAAAAATTATTTGGGCTAAACACAATGAGATACATACTGTAAACATCAAGAGTGTGGGCGCAGATGAGGTTTGGGGTTTAAATGATGAAGACTTTTACATTGTTGCCTTTTTATTTGAAAATTAGCTCATGTTTGGCAATGTTTATCATTTGGTTCTGAGCCTACTTAGGTCACTGATGGTGAGAGACTGCCTTTGGCTGTTAAAGAGCTAGGGACCTGCGATCTTTATCCTCAAGTAAGTGGCATCCTTCTGGTTGTATAAATTTTGGAAATATGGTTTCGTATCTCTGGATTGTCATTTCTACATTTGTTGATGGTATATTGGATATGTAGTGCTAACATTTTTCTTAAATCGTTGCTTCTAGTTATTTGTTTTTTTGGGCAGTTTGTTAGATTACTGGTATTAGTAAGAAATACGACCTTAATCATTTAATTTTGTGACTACCCACTGTCATTTATGTTTCTATTATTTAACTTTTTGCTTTCAGAGCTTGAAGCACAACCCTAATGGTAGGTTTGTGGTTGTTTGTGGAGATGGTGAGTACATCATCTACACTGCCTTGGCGTGGCGAAATAGGTCATTTGGCTCTGGGCTGGAATTTGTTTGGTCATCTGATGGGGAGCATGCTGTCAGGGAAAGCTCGACAAAGATCAAGATTTTCAGCAAGAATTTCCAGGTTTGTAATTCCTTTTGGCACATTCCATTTTTCCAACTGATTAACTCTATAGCTTTTGTTTTTTGTCTGATTCTGTTATCTGAAATACACTACCCTATACTGACTGCCTAGTTTAATTTGCAGGAAAAGAAGACTGTGAGACCCACTTTCTCAGCAGAGCGCATTTTTGGTGGGACGTTATTGGCAATGTGCTCAAGTGATTTTATCTGCTTCTATGATTGGGTGGAATGTAGGTTGATTAGGCGAATAGATGTTACTGTCAAAGTAAGTGCTTATATACCAGAAGTAGATCTATTAGTTTCTACAGGAGAATGGTTTATAGGTTACGGTTCCAGTAATATTTTTATTGGAGAAATACAAAAAGAGTTTCTTTTCTGGAATTTAAACGCAAAAGCAGATTGATACTGTTGCTTTTTGAAATACAACTCTTATTCACGTCTAATTTTTTTGTTTATTGAATGTGTCAGAATCTTTATTGGGCGGACAGTGGTGATCTAGTTGCAATTGCCAGTGATTCATCATTCTACATCCTTAAGTTCAATGTGAGGATCTTTCTTAAACCTTGGTAGTGAACCAGAACTCTAATAGATTTCCTTGTACTGTTGCTGTTTGATACATGGTTTTAAGCTGTTTTTTTCCTGTTCTGCTGTAGCGCGACATTGTTTCCTCTTATTTTGATGGCGGTAAACAAATTGATGAGGAAGGCATTGCAGACGCATTTGAGCTTCTCAATGAAACCAATGAACGTGTTCGGACTGGCTTATGGGTTGGGGATTGTTTTATCTATACCAACTCTTCTTGGAGGCTTAAGTACTGTGTTGGTGGTGAGGTAAGGCTCATTTCTAGGTTTTTGGAAAGAAACGTTTTTCTTAAAAAAAGTTTTTTGTTGGAAATGAGATTCAATATTCCTCTTACATTACAGGTAACGACAATGTATCATCTGGACCGTCCTATGTACTTGTTGGGTTATCTTGCTAATCAAAGCCGGGTTTATTTGATTGACAAAGAGTTCAAGTAAGCAGATGTTTTACTGTTATTATTGCTAACAATGTTTTGTAACTTACTGACTTCTGTGTCCACTTTATTGTTTACAGTGTTATTGGATACACTTTACTTTTAAGTTTGATTGAGTACAAGACTCTTGTGATGCGTGGAGATTTGGAACAGGCTAATGAAATCTTACCTTCAATTCCTAAGGAGCATCATAATAGGTATGAGAGTGTGTTTTCCCTCGTATTATGGTGAACATGTATCCAAGGTCACATAATGGTTTAAATTGTTTTCCTAAATTCATGCATTCCTAATTTTCTGATTCTCAACTTCAAAAACCTGCTCATGTTGTCAGCGTGGCACACTTTTTGGAATCACGTGGTATGACAGAAGATGCTCTAGAAGTAGCTACTGACCCTGATTACAGATTTGAGTTGGCCGTACAGCTCGGTAGATTGGCGGTCGCAAAGGTTAGTCTGTAGTTTTTACCATTTGAGAAGCTTTATTTCCATGATTTACCAATATGTTGTTAATCAATTCTTATTTTGACAGGACATTGCTGTAGAGGCACAAAATGAGTCTAAATGGAAGCAACTTGGAGAATTAGCTATGTCCACTGGGAAGGTGACCATTTTTTAAGCTGCAATTAGTGTTCTAGGATTCTTACAAAGGTTAAAGCTAATATGTATCTTTCTTCTCATTTTCCTCTCATGCTTGGACTACGTAGCTGGATATGGCTGAGGAATGCATGAGGCATGCTATGGATTTGAGTGGACTGTTGCTCCTTTATTCTGCATTGGGAGATGCAGATGGATTGATGAAGCTGGCAGCACTTGCCAAAGAGCAAGGAAAGAATAATGTCGCTTTTCTTTGCTTGTTCATGTTGGGTCAAGTAGAAGACTGCCTGCATCTGTTGGTGGAAAGGTGCATTGTTACTGTTTCTTACATTTGGAACATATATTCCCGCAACTAGTCACGTTTATTCTGATACTTATCTGGTT